GAGTTTTGATTCAATGGATGTCAAACATAGGTTTAATGTTAAATCATCTTGCCTTTTTATGTCTTGAATGACATGTTTTTGATTTAAAAAAAGATGAATTTGATCTCACGCCTAAAAAAATGCCGTGGATATAAAATTTTAATAAATAAATTTATCGCATCTCTTACCATTCAAATTTTTGGTACATTACTTAAAAGGTATTAAAGTAAAAGCACATTATGTAAACAAAATAAATAAATAATAGATATTGTCCAAAAAAAAAACAAAAAAACTTATCTCCAACTCAAACAGTAAGGAGTATGTCGAGCTGACGTAACACAAAAAAAAAAAAAAAATATTGTTTAGAGTTGTGTGTATACACAGAAGCTTTATTAGACATGTTGGCTAAAAAGATTTTATTTTTTTCAATGTTCTTTTCGTTTTTAGAGCATTGAAATTTCTACTTTCATTTTTTTTTTTTTTTTAGGATAAATAAAAGACAAGCATTATTATGGGATTGGATCAACTTTTAAATTCGACCATCTATTCATATATATATCTCAATGCTACTTAGATTGCAATTCATAACACAAATTGAAAACGCTATCTAGAATCTAGCACGTAGTTTCCAAACTTTTCGTCTCAAATTCTTACACAGTAGTTTCGCACTCGTACAACACTTCAAGATATGTCCGGTGCAACACTTCAATTTGCCGCCTTCATCGTTTCTTGCAAGTCATTCCGAAAACTTATAGCAATTAATGGTCTAACCCCATAAGAATTTGCTTGCTCACATATAAAATGCCTTGGAGACTTCTTTCTTCATTCTTATAAGGGAATAGTTTCTGGGGACTCAAGGGATTTGCCGCAATCTATCATTGCAATGTCCAAAAACTCAAGTGAGATACTCCAAGACTTATCTCCCTTGTTGCGAGTTTACAAAAATGGCCGAGTCGAAAGACTGATTGGTACAGATTGCGTGCCACCATCGGTAGATCCTGCCACCGGAGTTCAATCAAAAGACGTCAAGATTGCACCAGAACTTAACGTATCGGCCAGACTTTATCTACCAAAAAACTCCAATCCTGGCCAGAAACTTTTAGGCCGTGTTTGATAGGCCACATTTTTCGGGGAATTGGGAAAATATTTTCCACTTTCCACTTTTTTAGCTGTTTGATAGACGAAATTTTCCACAGAAAATATTTTCCGGATTTTCCCCACACGTGTGCAATTTCCGGGTTTGTGATGAAAATATTTTCCCGGCTGGTTGGAATTTTTTTTTTTTTTTGGTAATGGAAACAAATATCATAACTAATGGTAAAAAAAAAAATTCACTTTAATGGACAATTTTCATGTAAAACAAAATCAAACGAACACTAAATTTTGATAAAAAAATGATTTTTTAGGAAACAACTTTTTTTTCCTTTTTTTTTTTTACTCCTGACAATGGAAACAAATTTTATAACCAATTGTGGAAAAAAAATATCATTTTAATGGACAATTTCCATGTAAAACAAAGCCAAACGAATAGAAAATTTAAAAATTTTTCGGGTGGAAAATTATACCAATCAAACACATTTGAAATCATTTTCCCTGCAAAACATTTTCTAGGCAAATCTTTTCTCCGTAAAACATTTTTTTCCACCATTGCAATCAAACGCATCCTTATTTGAATATTTATTACTTTTTTGAATTTTTATCACTTAATTGAATAGCTTTCAAATTCAAAATATGTTAGTTAATAGAAGTGAAACATAATCACAAGCATATAATATGTAAAAGAAAATCAACCATCCATTTGACCTATTTTAAGGTTATGATTTGTGTTAAATATTATTTGTTACTTTTTTGAGTGTGTGCCAATTTTTTTGTCACTTTTTTTTAATGTTTTGTCACTTTTTTGAATTTCCGTCACTTTTTTTAAGTTTGTCACTTTTTTTGAGTGTTTGTCACTTTTTTAATCTATATAGCTTCTTTTTAATTTGTGTCAGTTTTTCAAATTTGTTATTTTTTTAAAAATTTGTCACTTTTTTTAATTTTGTCACTTTTTTTTTTTTTTAGTGTTTATCACATTTTTAAGTCATCTTCTTGATTTATCACTTTTTTTTAGTGACAAACATCAATTTTTAATAAAAGTAACATTGTATGTCATTTTTAATTAAAAAAATGACACTTAACTTTAAAAAGTAACAGTGTGTCATTTTTTAGCGTCACTTAATTTTATTCATTACCATCTAAGGATATCAAAATTGCTCGTCAATTTTATAAAAGTGACATTGTGTCATGTTTTTAAATTTTGTCACTTTTTTTGGTGTTATCACCTTTTAAGTTTTTGTCACTTTTTAAGAAGATAAGAAAAATGAAATAATATGTTATATTTTCCTAACATAATCAGAATGTGGATTCGTCTGGACGTGCTGATTATTTTAAGAACTTGATTATTAGTGTTGCACAAATGGATGATGCTATTTTGGTATTTTTCTTTTTTTTTTTGAGTTTGTGTCACTTTTTTGAGTTTGTATCACTTTTTGAGAGTGTGTCACTTTTTTTTTAGTTTTGTCACTTTTTTAGAGTTTGTGTCAGTTTTTTTTAAAAAGTAAAAAAGTAACAATTTTTATAAAAAAAGTGACATTGTGTCACTTTTTCATTTTACACAGTGTTTTTTACTTATTAAAAACTTTTTATATGATTTTTCAAAGTGGAAATTACAGANTGATTTTAAGGGTATTTTTGTAAGTAACATTTTTTGTAAGTAGCCCATATAAGTACATGGCCTAATTTTCCGTCAAATGCACCTATTTAGGCCCAACTAGTTGTATTCCTTAAACGAACGAGGCCCCAACTACTTGTTTTTTATACCGATTCAAGATTAACACCCACCTCTCTTTCTCTCTCCCTCTCTCGCTCCACTGTTTGTCCGCCCCTTCTTTCTCTCCACTTCTAGGGTTTGTCCGCCCCTGTCGCAGCATACCGCCTCTCTAAAACCTCCTCCGGCCAAGGTTCTAATCATGAGCAGATCAGGCCAGCCTCCGGATCTTAAAAAGTAAGTTATCTTTTTTCACGTAATGTATGGATCGTCGTCACTTTTGACCATTTTTGCACTTTATATGTGTGTGTTAATAGTAGTTACTTGTATAATAACTTTTGTTATTAATGATTTATTATTATTTTTTTTATCTCAGGTACATGGACAAGAAGTTGCAAAGTGAGTTTTAACCGGTTGAAATGCTGGGAAAAATATTCTGCAGCGAAGCATTTTCATAATTTTTTGTGAAGACTTTTGAGTAACTTAGCTGTGTTTGACGCTTTAAAATTTAACTTCTGATTTTGTTCAGTACTTCCGAATCCAATTAAATGTTAGAATTGAATGGTGTAAGGAACAACTTCATTTGATTCAGCTACTTGTGTAGTGAACCAGAAATGTTCAAAGGGGAAAGCGGGATGTTTTAGCACTTATTATGATTACGGCTGCCATTATTGGCATGACATAACCCTTATCAGTTTGCTGGCTGCAATTTTGTTGAGTGAGGCTAGAGTTTTCTTTGAGGCTAAGGGGGGCACTGCAGTGTGGTGACTTTGAAATAGCTGTAGAGAAGACTATATTTTCTTTTGTTCTCTCTCTCTCTCTCTCTTTTAAATATAGTATATTCAATTGTTACCATTAGTTATTTAAGCACATGGAGGGCTGTGAAATCTTAATAGAATATTTAGATTTAAATTGTCATTAGGGTCCACGGACATGAAAAATGAAAGGTTGGGGACAACATTGTAAAAGGAAGTAAAGGTGTGAGGATGGCAACTGCTATTTTCCCAGGATATAAGCTTTTGAATTATTGATTTTTTCATGGTTTCACATCTTTTGGGATGATCCAGTTTTCGGCGCCACATGCGCGTTTGATTCCTTTTGTGGTCTTCCTTTAGGAATTAGCCATGTCAAGGGCTTTAGCAGTGCAGGCTCAAAATTCTCTTTTTCAAATTGATGGTTTCTTGGAGTTCAATTGTATTCTTATGCTGTGTGACGTGTGTCAATATTAGGCTGAGTCTTTGACAAATATTTCTTATGGTGGCAAGTCATTAGTTTGTTTGGGCTGTGAAATTAGTCTTAGGGAGAATCATTTCAATATTGGTAATGAAATATAACATTGCTTGTAATTTAATGTAGTTTTTATTGGTACATAAGAATTATCAATAGGAATTTAGAGATCTTCATTTTGTATGTCTCCATCGATCCTGGTTCAACTTTTATTTCCACTTAAATTAATAATAAATTCCGACCTTTTCATATTAAATTATTTGCTTCTAAATATTCAGGACATCTCACAACAACATTATCGTATTAATGTGCATTCCTTCTATAACTAATGGAGTGGCAATTAGATTTCTATTTGTTCTTTTTTTTTTTTGGTCCACTAGGATAATAAGTCGTATATATATCTAGTCACGACTCTTTAGAAGCATTTGCAAATTATGCCTATGTTTGGCCCCCATTTCGATAAGAAAATATATGTTGGAATAGTGATTTTTTGGAGAATGTGTGTTTAAAAAAAAAAGGTTTTTGGTTTACATGTAAAATTATTTTATGGAAGAATGTGTGGTTGAAAATAAGTTTTGAAAAAATGGGGGCCAAACATAGGCTATATTAGGTCATTTATCTATAAATTTTCCTACAACCCTCCTAAGTACACAGACAAGAAGCAGAAAGATTTTTTCCCCCAGTAAATTCAATTGGCTCAAGTCTGATTTCTGATTCAAATGGTAAGACTACTAGGATGTCCGGCAAAATATTTGTTTTAGAATTGTCTTAGTTTTATTATAAGCATTGTGTCTGTGGCTAGCCTTGATCTAATTAAATCTTGTACCATGTCCTTTTTCATATTGCTTAATACAGATTGCCACCTCCTGTTTCAAGTGAACTTCACTTGCTTCTTGTATCCATTATGTAGCTGTCGAGCACCACATTTCTATTTCATTGGGCCATTTGTACTCTGTCCTATTATTAAATATTTGGCATTTTACTTTGCAGTCAAGCTGAATGCGAATCGGATGGTGGTTGGAACACTTCGTGGTTTTGATCAGTTTATGAACTTGGTGGTGGACAACACTGTCGAAGTGAATGGCAATGAGAAAAATGAAATTGGCATGGTGGTAAGCTTACTCAGTCCTGATCTTTTGGCGTTTCTGTCATTGTTATTGGTCCTTTTGATCGGGTCTAACTTGAGAATTTGGTTTTCCTTCTTGTTCTGCAGGTCATCAGGGGAAATAGTGTAGTCACTGTTGAAGCACTTGAACCCGTTAGTAGACCACAGTGATTGTGTATTTGCAGTGGTATGGATTCATGTAACTTGGTAGTGGATTATGTTGGATTCTGCAGCTTTATGACACCAGAGGAACCTCTAAGATTTACTTAAAATATGCTGTTGTGAGAATTATCCACTTCAATATTCCGTATTTAGCAGCTCCTTGTGGCTTATGACTTGAATGTTGTGTTGTGCAAGTTACATGTCCCTTTAAATTAACAATCTTGTTTGCCTAGTTAAATGCATCCGATTTATAACCTAGAACTCTTTGAGATGTTAGCTGTGATTCTGCTGGCGATCTGTCAATTTTTTTAAAGGGAATATGTGCCTTACTGGGAAAAATTAGCAAGATCGTGTGCAGATGGCATCGGCTTTAAGCTTGCTTTACTTGGTATAGCTGTACCTGGTGTAAGTTCACTCCTTTTGTCAAGTAAAGTTGAACAGTTGCCTGCTTCTTGGAGTTCAAATTATGAGCAGTTATTCTGTTTTATATCTAGTCTCAATGATCTATATAACTATTTGTGCCAAGTCAACTAAGGCTGATGAATATTGGCATTCGGATGATCTCACCATTATTAGTTGATTTTATCGCATTTATGTATCGGCATAACAATGTACTTGATATTGTTATCCTTTGCTAGGGGCTCATACTTCCCATTAGACTCTTATTTCAATCAAAAGATGGGAATTGCCTAATGCTCCCAAGCGCTGTTTTTAAGGGGAAATTGGCACATGGGTTTGGTTCTAGACCAATAACTATGAGACTAATAAAACCATTAATTGTGTATTTCAGTCACACGTTCTGTTATTGGCTTCCATAACTGCTCAACCACTGCATTCTAATCTTCCCCCCGTCCTTTACTTATGATCTGTATATTCGTCTCAATTATTCATATTGATTTGTGATAATGTATTGCACAAGTTCACCAGCCTGATGATAAAAGCTGTTACATTCTCCAACTAGTGCACGACCATTTCTAATGATATTTTTATGAGTAATGTTATTCAACATCACTGGTGTTGAGTACAAGTCAAGAAGGCAAATGCATGACATTAAATAATGGATTCACTTAAATATAATGTCGCGTGATTCATTTAAATGAACCAATCAAGTGTGGTTACTTAAACTATTGTTTTAGCACCATTAGTACTAGATGGTATTATTTTATTTTTATTGAACCCTCGCACAACCCCATCCCCGCCAAAAAAAAAAAAAAAAAAAAAAGAAGGAATTATTCTAGATGTATGTTTTTATTTATGTTAAGGATGACATTTCTCTCTGTGTTAAAATTTGAACAGTGTTGGGAAAATCAAAGACTATATGATGGGTGTTATGTGGAAAGATGTCAAAATGAGGGTCCATTTGATTACAAGAGTGGAATTTGGATGGAAAGAAAATGAATTTCAAGGAATTGATTTGCCTATAATTGGTTTTTTGGGAATTGTCAATTAATTGTGTTTGATTGATATAGTTTTTTACCTGAAAAATGTTGAAATTTTGAATTTTTTGATATTTGTTCGATTTTGTTTTTTTATGGAAATTGTCCATTAAAGGGAAATTTTTTTTTTACAATTGTCTATAGAATTTGTTTTCATTGTTAAAAAAAAAAAGGTTAAACCATTTTCCCACCACTTTGGTAGAAAAAACAATTCCACTAAATCATGGAAAAAGGGGCCCGTGGGGTGCGGGGGAATATTTTCCATGAAAAATTTTGGCTATCAAACATGGCGAAAGTGGAAATTGGAATTTCAATTCCATTTTTTATGGAAAATATTGGTCTATCAAACAGACCCTTAATGTAAAAAATAATGTACATGTAGTACGTTTGTAAAAGAAAAAATCCCGTATCCCAAGAAGAAAAGCATATGCTCGTTGCTCAACGATTTAGTTGAAGCACTTTTAATGGATGTGTTTGGTATGTTGAATAGGACTTTATTGGGTAGCAGGCAAACATTTTACATGTTAAAAGTTGTTTGGTTTGATACATGCGCTGAGATGAAATTATTGCTGGAGTTACATGCTCAACTGCTTGTAGGTGTGAGACTATTTAAGAAGTGTTAAAGCAACCAGCTCTAGTGCAAGCCAATTCTGTAGTGAATACCATTTAATTCTTTAAATAGCCTCCCACTTCTAGTAATGAATGCATAGAACATAATCGTACGGAATTTGTTGAACTCGTAAAAGTTATTTGATTTATGTGACGTTGTTAAAAGTTGATAAAGGTTGATGGGTCTACGGACGTGTGACGAAAAAGTGAATAAAAGTTATCGATTCAATTAATTGTGCGAAAAAAATTGAAGTTTGATCAGTTTTTTAGTAAGCAATCGTTTTACTAATTTTTACGTGTTAATTAATTTATACATATTCTGCACTTCAAATATAAAAATTATTGGGGTTAACCTGTCGTTTTAACGTGTGTGTATGAATATAATGCCCCAAATCCCACTGTCATTCTAAATTGTTAAATAATTCTTATTGTGTCTGAAATCATACAATAGACACCTCATCCATGTGCATTTAGTGATTATACATAGTATTTACGATTTAGGCATTATTTTTAAGGTAATTAATACCACGAAATCCAAGATAACCTTGAGATTTGTTTATTCATCAGTTATTTATTATTATTATTTTTAGAACGTTGGTCCAAGGGCGAAGCCAGGATTTCTTGTCGAGGGGGCACGATTTATCGATATTGAACGTCGAGTTTTTGAACTTCATTATCGATCAGTTAGAAGTTTAGTGACGTCAAATTCCACATTATTAGATGTCGCCTCAACAACATTTACGTTGTCCAAACCAGTTTTTCTTTGAAAGTATATCTTCATAAGATTTCAACAATTTCAATTCAACAATACCCAGTTTCAACAATACCTAAATTTTAGCAATTTCAACTCAACAAC